GTAGAAATTAAGAGAATTCTCTGTCAGATACACCAAACCAAAGCAAAAAGTGTCTATTTGGAGAAACATACACTAATTTAGGAGTTAAGATAGTAGGTTATATGAATAATATAGCAGATATATAAATACTAATTAGCAGTTAAGGAAGAAAGTACAAAAACTAGGTTAATCATATATGTAGAAGTGTGATAGCTCTGGTGGGTTTTAGCTATAAATAAATAGTGTGTATATCTAAAGTCCTAGTTTCAATAATAATATATAATATATATATGTTTATGGCACTGCCATATGTTAATTCACTTAAATATTAATAAAAGTTTGGGGCAGGTAGAGTATTTTCTAAATATTAAAAAAAAATAAGATAAATACCAATTATTGCTACAAAGGTAATTACTATTATTTAGAAAACTTAAAAATAATTAATAATTTTTTTTTTTGGCATTAAGATAACCTCTTTGGCCTGAGGACATTTTATTAAATAAACAGATATAATTACAATTACAACAAGAGTATAGCAAGCTACACATACACTTTTGGTATCTAATTTAAGTAGTTTATTTGAAAGTTCTACACTATCTGCCATACCTGCATCCTAATTACAAAGAATATCTATTTAAACTTTCTGGTTACAACTGCATATCTTGTCACATCTAAACCTAAATATTAGCTTACTAAATATACTTAAATTTTGCCATCTACTTACCTAGATTTTGTACTCTAACTTAGGACTTTTATTCTTAAAGTAAGCCTAACAAAGTGGTTTATGTTGCATACATATTTTGGTTAATCTTTAGTATAGGTGGGCAATATAAAAATAATATAAGATCATAATATAAAAAATAGCTATTTAAACTAATTTAAGCAAATTTGAGATTAGTTAGGGTTAGGATAAGAGTTATAGTATAATTTATAGTTAGGTTAGAGTTAGGGTTAGAGTTTTTTTATATTATAATCTTATAATATTTCTATATTGCCCACCTATACTAAAGAAGATCTCATATTTTTATCTACATATTTGGTAACTTCTTCCTAACTAGTACATGTTGTACTGCTACACTATATGTGTATCTTATATCATTTTTTAGAATGCTACTATTCTACAGTTACTCAAGCTATAACCTTCTTAGTTAGTTACCTATTATGTACTTCTTGCTTTTATTAGGTTCACAACAATCTTGGTACCCACATTTCAACTTCCTTTATCTCTAAATTTCTTACTAGTCTCTCTATTATTTCTAGCTAACAACCCAGAAGAGTTAGTTTGCTTAGGCTTTAAGTACCTCATAGTCACACTTCTCTTGATACATGCTTTTAGAGTATATATATTTTTTTTTTAGTTTGGCATTTTAGCAGTTTGGCTAATATGTTTTCCACTTAAGAATCTAGTTACTTGGTTCTCTAATCTTGGTCTCTGGTTCTAATTTTAGTCTTCTGTGATATCATTGAAGGTCATTGCTATCTTCTAACTTGGAACTTGCCAAGTGTGTTTTCAGTTATTTTGGTTTCTTGGATTTATTATGCTAGAGCTTCTATTCTGATAATATAACCAAAGTTATAGATTAGGATCTAACCAATTAGTAATAGCCATTAATCATATTATAGAGCTATTTTTTAAAATATTATTTGAGAAATTTAAACTCTAAACCTGCTATCTGAGGTGCAATAACTCTACCACTTTACTAAATCACTACACCTACACCTTTCAACAATAATTAATATTAATAGCTAATTAATATACAATTAATTAAAAAATAATTAATTTTAATTTAGATTTGATATTAATCAATTTTAATTAAAGCAATTTTAATTAATTTTAATTAGCAGCTTTGTTATTAATCAATTCTAATTTGTATTATTAGTAATTAGAAAAAGTGCTACTTATTGATTGATATTTTTTTCTATTAATTAATTGCAAACTAATTTGAAATTTTTCTAATATACTAAACTAATATAACTATTCAAAAAATCTTTATACTTGTTTAATATATTAATAAATACAATTTTTTTTCTACTAAAAATTAATTTTATCTAATTCTTAAAACTCACTGTATTAATATAATGCTTTATTATTAAGCAATATTTATAAATTAAATCTTCAGAATTATGCAAGATTAATAATTTTTGTATATTTGCTTAATTTATTTTATAGTTCTTATTTATACTTCTATACTATTTTTTTATATTTATTCGTTATTTAACGATGCGTCCTAATACCTAGTTGTAAATGAAAGATTTAGCAAAAATAGTATTAACAGGCTTTAGTTTTAAAAGTGTCGAATTTTATAATATGTGCAAATAATGAAGTTTCTCTATCTAAAGTGAGAACAATATTTATAGAAAAATTTCATATAACCAAATTACAAATCAAAAAAATTCATCAAGTAAAATCTATTAATTAAATAAATCGACTAAACTACACACCTCTTATTAATTGCTTTTCTTTGACTACACCAAAATTGAACCAAAATAAGGTTCAATATTTGGATACAAAATCTTAGTTTAAAAGATAGTATATAGCTGACTTTTAACATAACAGTAATCTATAATTGCGAATTGTAAGTGATAATATATGTGTTGCAATTCACTCGAAAGATACACAAATTACGATAAAATATTTGAACTCTTGTATATTAACATGTCTCGTAATTGATAATATTAATTAAAAATTGGGTTGTATTTGAATGCAAACTTTGATTGGTCATTTATATCATTTAAGAAGATTATAAAATATTGTTAAAATAATCTGGTATTCTAAAATAATAAATGCGTAATAAACCTAGAAAAAAATTGCGCAGAAAGGAAATTAGCTATAAATAAATAAGAAAATTAATTAATATAATATTAATAAACTTGTAATCTATTGTAATATAAATTAGATTGATATTAAAAGATAAGAATTTAAATTGTATTTAATAAAGTATTTATTAGCTTAGTGCTAATTGGCTGACGAATATATAAAGAATCTTGATGTTTTTGTGAAATTGTTGACAGAGTAGGAATAATTTTGTCTGCTTCTAAAAATTCATTTTTTATTTTAATTTGTTCTTCACTTAACTCTTCTTGTTCATTATTAAGAATCATTTCCCATTCTTGCAATTGTTCATAAACTTCTTTGGCAGTTGGCCGTTTTGTCGGATCATTATTCATGCACTGTTTTGCAAGTTTTATATAAACATCAGGCGTTCCTAAAGCAAATTCTGGTCGCAATTCGTTGATTATTCTATCCACTAAAAAATTGATTGTTTTATGTGATATATTTTCAAAAGGTTGCTTTCCAGTTGACATTTCTGACATAATTACACCTAAACTATAAATATCTGATTTTTTTGTAGGTTGATTTCCTAATAATACTTCAGGTGCTGAATAAGATACTACCCCATATACTTCTTTATTTGCAGTAGATTCATTTATTTTTCTAGATAGTCCTAAATCGGAAATTTTTGGTTCTACATTTATTTTATCACCTACATTTAGTGAAACCACTGCTAATTTATCACCAATAACATAAGGAATATTTACAATATCTCTAGTACTAATCATAAGTATATTGCCGCTATGAAAATCTCCATGGATATAATTTTGATGAATATAATCTAAATTATCAGAAATTGAACAAAGAATTTTTATTTTTTGCTTCCAGTCGAGAGTTTTAAATTTTGTTGCTAAATATTGCCGGAGATCTCCTTTATCAGCATATTCAAAAACCATTAAATATTCATTATTTACGGTGTTATAAGTTACTCCATATATTTCTATTCCATATTTATCTACGCTATATCTGTTAAGCTGACATTCATAATGTATTTTAAACTAATGTAATTAATTATCATCATTATTAGTATTTTACTTATTTAAATACAGTACAAAATATAATATAATGTATTTATTTTACCTCATTAAAAAAGTCTGATGATATATTCAGTATTCCGGTTACACTTTTAAGGGCCACATTGCATTGCACGCGAGATAATAATACATCATTATAACCTTTTCCTAGATCATAAGATCGTTTACCATCAATCCAGATTGCAGTATAAACTGTGCCAAAACCACCTTTACCAATTTGTTCAATATTTTTTAATTTATCATAAGGTATAAATTCAATTACTTTATGATAATATTTAGAATTTATTTGTGCATTTTTTATAAATTTATCTAAGAATTTCCGCTAGTCCAGTCCTGACTTATTTTAGGATCACAAGAATGACAATAAAAAAATCCAGTGTTGTATTCTTTACAATTAGCACAGGTTCCAAACCTTAAATAATTCATGTCTGTATTATATGATTTTATTCCGAATGATTTATTTAAATCTGAAAGCGATTCTTTATGCTTGCCCATCTGTTGATAAGTTGTTCCGCGATTATTCAATGCCATTGTATAATTTGGATCAATTTCTAATGCTTTATTTAAGTCTGCAAGTGATTCTTCAAATCTTCTAAGCAATTGATAAACAGTGCCACGATTATTTAATACTATTACATTATCGGGGTCAATTTCTAATAATCTATTTAAATCTGCAAGTGATTCTTCGTATCTGCTCATATTTTGATAAGTTAATCCACGATTATTTAAAACCTTTGCATTATTTGGATCAATTTCTAATGATCTATTTAAATCTGAAAGTGATTCTTCGTATCTGCTCATATTTTGATAAGTTAATCCACGATTATTTAAAGCCAATATACTGTTTGGATCAATTTCTAACGATTTATTTAAATCTGCAAGTGATTCTTCATATCTGCCTATCAGTCGATAAGTTTCTCCACGATTATTTAAAACTGTTGCATTATTTGGATCAACTTCTAATGATCTATTTAAATCTGCAAGTGATTCTTCGTATCTGCGCATATCTTGATAAGTTAATCCACGATTATTTAAAGCCAATACACTGTGTGGATCAATTTCTAACGATTTATTTAAATCTGCAAGTGATTCTTCATATCTGCCTATCTGTCGATAAATTTCTCCACGATTTCTTAAAATTATTGCATTATTTGGATCAATTTCCAATGATCTATTTAAATCTGCAAGTGATTCTTCGTATCTGCGCATATTTTGATAAGTTAATCCACGATTATTTAAAGCCAATATACTGTTTGGATCAATTTCTAACGATTTATTTAAAT